ATATCTAACATAATACTAATTCTTCAAAAAAATTGATTCCAGAACTGTAAATCTTGACATCGTGTTTTCATTATACTTTATTTTTCGTATAACAACTAAGGCTATTTTAATTTGTCCGTTTATAAAACCAATTGATAATATTTACGATACAATTTGTCAAGTTGGAAATATAGAAACACTAATGATGATGATGATGCCCCCCAGTGGCACAGCGGTATGTCTGCGGACTTACAACGCTAGAAACCGGGTTTCGATACCCGTGGTGGGCAGAGCACAGATAGCCCATTGTGTAGCTTTGTGCTTAACTTCAAACAAACAAACAAACACTAATGATGTTTTAAAATGCCGTTATTTATGAGTTACATAAAAACTTCATGAACTAGGATTAACAGTTCCTAGTTATGTCTGATCTTTCTCTCTCTCTTTTTTTTCTTTTTTGAAAAATGGAACGAACCTTCAAGTGCACATTACTACTCTCTCTGGCTGATTAGACAAGCACTCAAGTGGCTAAAGTGAATTTAATAGAAGAAAAGATTACAATACGAAATTTGGTCATCAGGCATCGTAAAAAAAATAATAATAATGAAATGGCAACTCACCGAGACAATCAGACCATGAAACAACGCTAACTCACAGACAATATATATATAACTAGAGGGGCACTCGGTAGAGTGCATACCTTCTCCATAAGCGTTGATCATATTCGGCTGTCCAAAAATACGAAAATGTGCCCGTATGTTCGTCTTTATCAATGGACACGGACCATTTTTTTTTACAGAACAATGAGGAATAATATTCTTTAATGAGGAATAATATGTCCACCAAGTTTCATCAAAATCAGATCATTGTTGAACGAGTTATAGAGCAAAAATGGTGTGAAAAATCGGCCCCCATGTTAACAGATAGGTGTTTTTATGGATTTTCGGACCTTTGACCTTGAACATCCAAAAACTAATCACTTCTAAGCGTATATTAACTTTCGTGCAAATTATTTCATCCGCTTTCGAGAAGTCTTGTTGACAAACACAGAAAAAAAAAACACACACAGGGGTAGAAATATAACCTTCGTCTACCTTCGGCGGTGGAAGTGAAAAATAATGAAAATATACAGTTAAGTACTAATGACAGAAGCAGTTCTGAGAAGCACATCTACGTATCTTAAAACTATTCCCCTTTTTCGTTTCCAACAAGTTATCCAAATATTACTTTAACTTTCTTACGAATAAGACCTTAAAAAACGTAGCAAAAAAAGAATAAAACAAGTAATACTAATCCACAAACTACCACATGTGAATTATAGAACATACCTTGGACTTTGAAATATAGCGCATGGATACATCGGCTATAAGACTTAAAGTAAACTTGCATGTCATACATACTGTTTAAAAAACGAGTTAAGTTAGGCTTTAAGCGCAGATGTGGGTGCTCAGGTCTACAACTTTCAACCTATCTACCACATTTCACTGTCTCAGCCTATCGAAGGAAGGCGGCTATCCAAACGTAGAAATGTGCAAACGTTCTGGAGGGGATATAATATGTTTGTCCCCTTTAGGTTCGAGTTCCAGCCTCCTTAATGAACTTTCTAGTAGTAATTAATTAAAATGTTAACTAGGAAACCACATGTGGCGAGATTAATAGAAAACTATTTAAAGATTTCTGATAGAAATATACCCAACCAGCATTTTAACTGCATTAGCCTAGTCATAGTACCGGTCCATTTACCCCTAACGTTCTACTGTCAATCAAAGCGCACCTATTAATGGTGTGTTAGACGTGAATAACTATCGGCTTATACTTGTAATAAGTCGACACACACTCGTACATTTGGCAAATGTCTAAACTGTTTCAAACCAAACTAGATGCTCCAAAGGCCTTATTGAACGACATGCTCAAAAAAGTCCATTGTATATTATTTTTCATGGTTTTTAGTTATTTCTGAAATTCATTAATATAGTTACACAGTGGTCTATCTGCGCTGTGCCCACTGTGGATATTGCACCTCGATATCTAGCGTTATGAAACTTATAGCTAACTGCTGAATCATAAAATATTAATAATAAAGATTGAATCGTTATGACTCTCGAAACACACTATTTTTTGACTCACTCAAAAAAGATATAAAACGATTGATCAATAATTGTTTTCATTAATCTATTTAATGTGGAAGCTGGCATGAATACCATATTAATGTAGTATCGCACATTGTTATAATTTTTCTTTGCCATTTCCTCCATATGATCGTTTATTTTACAATATATATATATATTTATATGTTACTAGATGGCGCTATGGTCTGACCTGCATAATACTTTTGAAAAACATCCTTCACTTTTATATATATATATATTAATCATGCTTAACATCGAATTAAAAAATAACGAAGTACTGAATAATAGAATTTATCAATAACGTTCAGATTATTTGTTTTTCGAAAGTAATCTAACTGAGATTTTAGTTTGGTGTTAATGGAAAGGAAAATTGAAAGAGTACATTTACACTTGTACAAACACAAAAATAATTTATATTTCAATTCAGGTAGGAGTCCCCCCGGTGGGTCAGCGGTAAGTTAAGGGTCTTAAAATGCTACAATCCGGAGTTCGATTCCCCGCGGTGGACACAGCAGATAGCTCACTGTGGCTTTGATCTAAAAAAAAACGCTTCAGGTAAGAGTTATTACTTCAATTTTTCAGGGTATCCTTTAATTGAATAAAAATTAAGATCATATCATTAAGTGTACTATTTAATCTACATCTATTAGGTTACATTGTTTGGTAGAGTATATTACACCTACTGGATATTTTTTAAAGAATGGTTTAGTCTCATTTGTTTGGCCAAGTGCGGACAATAGGAAGATTAAATTCTACCTTTCACCTTTGGTTAAGCTCCAGCCATATGCTAGACAAGCCACGCCCATTTCTACGAGACTTTCGACAAGAATTCACAGAAATAAAAATATTACATTAAACGACTGATTGTGTATTCAGAAGTATGACAATATTCAATTACGGTTTTTCATTCATCGGGTTTCAGTCATTCTGTATCTTAACTTAAGATTTGTTTGTTTCTTGAATTTCGCGCAAAGCTACTCGAGGACTATCTGCACTAGCCGTCCATAATTTTTAAATGATAGACTAGAGGGAAGGCAGCTAGTCAGCAGCACTCACTGCCAACTCTTAAGCTACCCTTAACCAACGGATAGTGGGATTGATCTTCACATTATAATGCCTCTGCGGCTGAAAGAACGAACATGTTAGGTGAAAGGATTCAATCCAGCGACCTTCAACCTGAGAGTCGAGCGCCTCAACCTCAAGGACCAACTTAAGGAGCACCATGTTTTAAAACATTTAATTGTGAAAATGAAGCTGTGTTTTACAATAGACCACGGAAATTAAGTTGGAACAGAGGGGTGTCACGAAATTTTTACTAGTGCTGTGACACTTATTTCAATATTTCTTTCGAGTGCTGATAAAGGACTCTCGTGATAATCCAGATATTAATTCCTTATACAATCAGTCTGCGAGTCGATGAAACCAAATTCGGGGATTGGATTGGTTACAGAGAGGTATCACGGTTTTCATATTCTATACAGAACCAAAAAGAAATGTACCCCGATTAAGGGACTGATCTGTTAACCACAAAAAAAACAAAAAAAACAATCATTTACAGCCAATATAACTTATCACCCAAAAGTGTTCAGCCACGGAGATTCGGAGTTTACAGGGTTGGCCAGACTATGTTTCTCTTGCACAAAATATTATTATCGAACACTTAAGACAGATACCGCACTTAGCCATCTTCCTTGGTCATCTCCAACGAAAGAACTCGCGAAAACTGTGATGAAAATGACTTCATAAAACTGAAGAATCACATCTTATATTGAGCAACATGTGCGGCCAATACTGTGTTTCATGGGGGGGGGGGATTTGGCTATTGGTGTGAGTTTAATTCCCACATAGTCTAGAGCGAATTCGTCCACACTGGGGAAAAATTTAGATTGCCGATATTGCAAGAACCTCAAATCTCTGTTCATCATTACAAGTTTTTGTTTGTTTGTATTTGTAAAGCGAAACCACATTGGGCTATCTGCTGTGTCCACCACGGAGAATCGAATTCCGGATTCTAGCGGTGTAAATCCGTAGACTTACCGCTGTCCCACCAAGGGACCATAATTAAAAAAAGAGAGAACCGGAAAGCTTTATTTGGGAATCAACCTAACAAAAATTTCTATCCAACTCGCAGACTGGGTGTTAAAAGAAAACAACTTTAATTGTTAAGAGAACATTGGGACTGGGCATGACTTTTCGATCGGTATACTGAGATTTAGAACGGGATAGCCAAGGTTTGAGTCGCGAAATGAAGTTGAGCACAGTTTTCAGCCGTATAGGTGGCAGGTTCTTCTGACTAGTTGTCCTTCTTATGATAAGAAAATATAAATTAGTAATGGATGTCCTGAATCTTCGAGGTGCTTCTGACTTGACCGCTCGTTCCATGTTACACATAAGGTAACCACAATTCAGGTTGAAAATACATAGAATAAAACAAAGTTGTTTTGCAACAGTTGATTTGTCACGGCGTTCCCACGTTTGCTCTGATCATTGTTCCAATATTCTCTTCATCTGTCCTTGAACTATCGCAACCTTTAGATGATGAATTTGCACATTACTTCTCGTGGTATTAATCTTGTAAATCTTCAATAAAACTTATTCGTTGAAGTTTCTGTTTATTTAATTGTTTTGTTTAAGTGTCAAGCTGTACTTGTTATAAGCTCACCGCTGAGCCATTCGGAGGTATTTTTAATAGTACATCATTTACTATGAAAGGGAGTTCCTTTCATATCATTATTCATAGTGAAGAGAAGCTTAGATAAGCAGGAAACAAAGTCATTTGTTTTATAAATTTTTATTTGTTAAATGACCACGCAAAATACATATATCATTCTCTCACACACACACATACACGTGACATAGTTTAAGAAATGAAAGATTAAATTTAAAGCAGTTTTAACTGGTGTTAGTGGGCAAAGAAACTGTATATATATATATGTATATTACTACTTATTACCATTATCCATGAATATAATAAAACCTAATGGGCCGCTGCCTGACAACAGTTCTTACACTAACAGTTATCCATTTATTTACCATCAGTTCGTTTATTTGTTCTTCTAGCACTATGTTTTTTTTTACTCCCCTTCCTCAAATGTATTTTGAATACGTTTAGTACGTCGTGTTTATTGACGTCATGACTGTGTTTGCATCAACTAGTGGCCCGGGATGTGACACGAGCAAGCTGACTGAAACCGGTACGTATCGATGAAAAGACCCCGGTAGGCGTCGCACGGGTCCCAGGACAACAATCGATGGTAAACATACTTCTGGGTACACTTGGATTTGTAACATGGGGCCAGGAGTCGACATCCAGCGTTGGGGAATCTGAGATAAAACAACAACAACAACAGCATAAAATTACACACTTTTCGGTATATTCCTTACTCATTTGTCTTTGCAATCTTTATGTACTTAAATCATTTGTCTATTTGTTTTTCACTTTCTTTTTGTTATTTTTCACCCATTAGTTACCGCTTTCTAGATACGTTTCTTTAAGCACGGGTGGGAGTCAAAGCGTCCATGCCGTATAGTTTGTACAAAGTGTCATTCAACATGATGTCAGAGTTATCAACATTTCATGTTACCTCACATTACTGATTTTACAACAGTTCATGGCAGAGAAGGGAAGATACCAGATACAGTATACAGTGAGACTGAAAAAACAAACTTTGTATGCGCATTTAGGAGGCTGAGGATGTTATACGAATGCAATTTGCTAACTGTGCGATGGACAAAAGTATTTTTCTTCACATGATGTCCCGGCATGGCCAGGTGGTTAGGTCGCTCGACTCGCAATCTGAGGGTCGCGGGTTCGCATACCCATCCCACCAAACATACTCGCCCTTTCAGCCGTGGGGGCGTTATAATGTGACGGTCAATCCCACTATTCGTTGGTAAAAGAGTAGCCCAAGAGTTGGCGGTGGGTGATGATGACTAGCTGCCTTCCCTCTAGTCTTACACTGCTAAATTAGGGACGGCTATCGCAGATAGTCCTCGTGTAGCTAGTTTTGGAGTTAGACATTCAAAAAACAAACAAACAAAACTATTCTTCACATGAACATCGATCGCTTTCTACTCCGACTTGTCACAGTCTGAATTAGACTAACTTTGACATTTCACAGCCAGATCTTTAGTACAAAAACATTAGTAAAATATCTGTGTTTTAGTATGTAACAGACCTGTGCTACTGACAAAAAACTTGTCACATTTCGTGAAGATACCCTTCGTAAATTAGCCATTATAGTCAACATTACTTCTTCAACACCTTCAGCTATGCGCCAAGTTACTTGTGGGCCCATGACTTTATTCTTTACAAGGCCTACGTAACAACAACAAAATAAAATCAATATTGTAATTAATCCAACTAATTAAGCCTATTTACTTTACATAGAAAATAAGCAATTTTTATCGGGTTTTTTTTCAGTGCGGTGTTGTAAAGGCAAAATCATAACCTTACTCACTGTGTGACCCCCCCCCCTCCAATGGTAATAATTGGATTGAGGTTAGTGACTCTTGATAAATGCTCTTAGTCTTCTAATTCTAATTAAATCTAATTGAGGCGATTTAAATAGAACCGTTATAATTCTATAAAATTAAGTTAATCAAAAGCGTCAGCGTTTCGTCTTTTATTTGTGGGTTAAAATAATGGATGGTTAATTTGCTACGATACTATACGAGGAGTAATCAATTTTGTTATTTTCAGTTAAGCTGATTAAATGTTAAAAAATAAAATAAAGTACATCTTTGAATTGTTTCTTTGTTGTTACTCACAAATATACACAATGGGTTATCTGTGTTAGCCGTCCCAGTGGCACAGCGGCATGTCTGCGGACTTACAACGCTAGAATCCAGGATTCGATACCCGTGGTGGGCAGAGCACAGATAGCCCATTGTGTAGATTTGTGCTTAATTACAAAACAACAACAAGATATCTGTGTTATGTTTACCGGGGGGTATCGAAACTCTAATTTTAGCGTTATAAGCCCTCAGACTTACTGCTGAGCCACCAGGGAGGGGGCATATCTTTGAAACCTTTAAGTCTATTTATAGACTTTTATAATACTATTTTTTTTTTTCACTAAAGGAGACTAGATCTCGCGAGGCGAGAGCGAGATTAAAGCAGAGAACATAGTTAACAGCGAGAGTACTTCATTGATCGATATATTTGTATTATAATCTGTAGTGGGATCATAATTCATCATAACTTCTAATCAACTTTAATTTTAAACTTACTGACTAACATAAATTTGTATCCATCTATTTTAAGTCTGGGGTACCAAGAGATTTAAACGTAAACTTGTTCACCTCATTTTGCATGTGGTATTTTATTATAAAGTATTACTTACGTAACCTCTCTATATATCATATTTGACAACACATATATTTGTTTCAGATCCATAACCGTTTCATGGTTTCAACTCACTTTTATTCATAACTGGCTAATTGTCAAAGTTTCGGCGTTACTTAGAATAGTCGTTGTATATTTTTTAGTCTCTTCCTTTGGAGTCAATGATGTCCAGTTAAGAAAGGAAAACCATTTTTCTTTTAAGAGCTCTAGAATTTGTTTGTTGTTCGTTATCTTAATGAACTGTTTGCGCTGTGCCCACCACGAGTATCGAACCCAAATGTTTAGCATTACAAGCCCACTAGCTTACCGCTGGGCCACAGGGGCTCGAGCTGTGGCACGTCACTAGATAAAGAGATTTTTCTGGCATCTGAAGATGTATAAGAAATAATTAACATTTTAGAGCAAGTTAACACCATTATTTCGTTCATAGAACAGACATAGATATCTATATATATATGAAAATACAAGCAAACTTTAAAGTAACGGCATGACATTTCCATTCATTGTTACTTAACCTGCTGCCCCCTAGTGGCTCAGCGATAAGTCTGACGGCTTAATAACGCTAAAAACAGGGTTTCGATACCTGTGTTGGGCAGAGCACAAAATAGCCCATTGTGTAGCTTTGTGCTTAACTATTTATTTCACTTTTTTAACAGTTTCATCTCAGAAAGATTTGTAGCTTTTTACGATCAGAACGTTAAAAGGTGAACCATTTGAAACATCTGTGTTTCAATATTTTTGTCTCGGCTATCAAATTTACGAGGCAGTGTAATAATTCCTATGTAGTATTTCTACGTAGTTTAATAATTCATCTTACAGTGAAATAACACTTCACTATTTGAGGATTTAACATGTGTT